CCCCAGACCCAAAATTTGCCGAAAATCGATAAATTCTCGTTCAATCAAGCTCGCGACGGGCTCAAAAGTCTCGTACGTATGTGCCCTATCAACTCCACCAAACGCCTCGTCGATATCTGCGCGTTCGCCGTGGGAATCGCCGATCTTGTGTCAGACGGGGGGCATGGTGCGCCTCTGGCCGTGGTGCGTTTTTTTTTCTTTCCTTTTGACCTCTTCTTTTTTTGCGTTTCGGCACTCGTTGCACTCCATAGAGTGTGTCTGCGACGAGTTTGGGGTCCGCGCGGCCTTTTCTCGTCCAGAATTCGACTTTTTGGCGGAAACGGCGCCCCCCCAGCCTAAACGGCCCCCCTTCGATTTTTTTCCTAACGACGTGCGGTTTTTTTGGTACGGGGCGACCGCCCCCATTGAGGGCGTCCCGTAGGTGCCGTCAGGTCGTCGGTCGGGGCCGTATCGCGTCGGGAACGGGCCCAAGCGCACCATGGTGCATTATGCTCGTCGCAGACTGTCAGCTCAATCCTCCCGCCATGGCCAGGTCTTCACGATACAATTCCATTCCCCGTCGACACCCTTCCGCCATCCATTGATGTTCGCGGACCCTCCCTCTCGGTATTCCAACGCGCTGTTTTCTGTCAGAACGCAATGGTCAGACGCTGTGACATAAGATCCTTGTGACTTCGACTCACTGAAAGTACAACGCACGAGGTCTACGCAACCCGCCTCTATCTTCCGTATCCAGCATACCTCCTCGTCCTTCTCATGCGGAAGGCCATAGTGATAGCCAACATCACGTAACCTCCCCAACTTTCTGAGAACATCGCACACCGTCGACATGTTGCCCTCCCGATGTGTCTGATGTGTCCATGAATTGACCCAGGGCGGGATCACCTCTGACATTGACTGGAGGGAAAGGACCTCCAGTAGAGGGCAGGTGCTCGCGATGAGCGACAGAAGTCCAATGTCTACGTTCCGGCCTCTAGGCATATCGAGATCGAGGTGCAGCTTGATGAGATGAAGGTCGAGACGGTGAATATGATACGCCAACTCCGTTGTGTCAGATCCACCCTCGGTCCCTACGTCCAATGTGATGTCGATCAACCGCGGGGCTGATCCAATCCACGACAAGGCACACATCTGACCTTGCCATCCGGACAATATGGCGAAATGCAATGGATGGACGGACGTGAGGGGCCATGCGCCGTAATGATTCATTTCGATGTGGGTGAGCGTGGATGTATGGAGCTGTAGGAAAGGTGCAGACAATGGGTATGAAGCCCACCCTTCGGCGGAGAAGCGTTCGAGCCGAAACGCGCACTCTCTTGGGAGGGTACGAGACAGCAACGAAAAAGGCAATCGTTGCATGTCAGAAGCCCCCATGCCTCCAGGAACGGTAATGCTGACATCGAGATTCTTCAAACGGGTGCAGCATGCGACAATTTCGGGATACAACGTCGCGGCGCGTGCAGCCGTGGGGAATCCGCGCCCATCGAAATACATGTCTGTCCATCTAGAGCAGAAAATGACAAGTGAGCGATATATGCGCAATGGACGCGTGATCGTGATTTACCCAATGCGAAGATCATCTACAAGTTGCCAGTTCTGTGGACATATCGAAACCGACGTCTGAAGCCTTGTCCACGTGATCGGCTTCATCGGAACCGATAAATCAACGACTTTATATATACGATCCAGAGCGACAGAAAGCCAGACGGCAAAGTCATCTGAAGCAGATAGACGGAATACCGACGCGGCTCGGGCGAAGTCAGTCACGTCCAGCGTGTTCATCGACCGCTCGACTAGCTCGACGGGGAAACGGGATGCAGCTGGCATTGAGCACTTCTTTCGAGGATTTCGTCTTACCGATGAGAGATGAGTAGAAAGGGGGCAACACGCAGGGACGGGAAGGAGACGATGGAATGCAAGCTATATAGGTGCACCCTGGCCCAATCGGGCGTATATCGCGGAGATATCCACGGAGCTCGAATGGGAAGACGAGCAAGTCCTATATCTATTTTGGGCCCATCAAAAATGAATGAGCTATCACGCTAATGGGTGACTTCCCGTAGAGAAACGATATGTTTATTCGGGATTGATTCAACGCGATCGCTGCTCGGCAACGCTCCGAAATGAAGATCGCAGCTCAGTGGTTGGCTGCAGCTGGCTGCCGTCTTCATCTCCGAGCGTTGCCGAGCGGTGATCACGTCGAATAAACATATAATTTTGTCTACGGGAAGTCATCCAATAAGATCCACGCAGATCACTTACAGGCTGACCTATCACGCGGATCAATGATCGGCGATCATCGATCGCTGATTGACGGAACCGACAGGCGGATCAGCGACTGCCGATCAAAGCGATCAATTCGATGACAACACGTTGCCGGGCGAGAAGTTGTCAGCCGCGAGGCAAATCGGCCAACATCCAGGAACCGGATACCGCGCTGCGGGTCCCGGCCTTGATCGACACGATCACCTCCGGCGCCTAAGCCCGCCTACCCACTTGTATCACATTCCCTTTCACTTCACCATTTGTCTCCCTTAAACATTCAGCCGACGAACCAGCTCTCCCAATGGAAGGCACATACGTCATCTTGATGCCACCTTGGAGAGCCGGGGAGACCCCTATCCAACGTGTTCTGGCACTTGCTAGAGTGGAGATCTGGTTGCTGGGAGAGAGAGGGTGGCGAAACGGATTCGTCGTGGCAAGGGTCACGTAAGTGAGTCCAGTTTCTTTGAGATTCGATGTTCATGGTTTCCGGTAGGCATCTGTGGCACGCAAGTCCATTGGACCCTCGCGAACACATCACGGTCGAGATCTACTACAATTATCGCTACATAGGCACATGGCACGTCGTTCGTCACTTGCAGTGAGTCGTCCGTTTTTTGTTAGAACATTCTGCTCAGTCCCTACAGCCTCGAAGGCAATCAAGCATATAACGCGATCGCTATTGGGTACGTCTTTTTTAAGGAATTTCGCGAATCATTCTCATATGCAGCTAGGAGGGGGATGGGGAATTGTTGTGGCTGAAGTCCGGGTTTCAGTGGCGGCAGATGGGAGTTTCGGGGCCCTCGGCGTTGAGGAGGATTGGGGCGGCGCTAAATGTATTTCCGTCCGTTGGGGTGGCGCATAGTCTATTTCTGTGCTTTCTTGGTCGTTTCGATGTTCGTTGCGTTGCGCGTACCGAAGGAAAATCCGTCTAGGACGGAGATTGCGTGCAAGGCACTTTCGGTTAGCGTTCGCGATGCGTTCGGCCGGCAATTTCCGTCTCGGACGGATTCGGCGCGCGCAGCCGCTATGACGCGGCGGCATGAGTGGCTAATGCAGCAGTTTCCGTCTCAGACGGATTCCGCGCGCGGAGTACGCTGACCATGCGTGTTTACGCGGTTGCCCGAGCAACGCGGAATCCGAAATAGAAATACCTCACGACGCGAACTCCGTCCTGGACGGATATTGCGCAGGAGGAGATCTCGCGACTGGATCGCGGTTATATTCGGCCCGGCTCTTGCGACGCATGAAAGATCACGGGTCCGTGCAAACCGACGAGATCCGTCGTGGACGGATATTGTGCTCACGAGCGCGCGTTATGATTACGGTTAACATCGGCTCGCCTCCCCCCGCCGCTGCCGTGATGTGCTCGTGCGCGACGCATGTTTTCCGTCTTGGACGGATATCGGCCAACGTTGTGCTACGCTCCACTGCAGTCATGTGCACGTATCGATAACGTGCATAAGACATTGGTTGCCCACCAAGCTCACGCTTCGCTGTCGATTCCTCGCAATGCAGCGTGTCGTGATTGACAATAGGCCAAACCCTAATATAGGGTTAGGTTTCGAGCCCAGGTAACCCTACCCTAGCTACCTACGTCCTGTTTTTTGTCTCATAACCTAACCAAACTGTCACTTTTTTATATCTCTGACGCTCACATTTCGTCTTCACCACCTTCACCACCCTCGGAAACGCCACAAACACGCTCTATTCCACCAACACGCAAAACACGTCCTCCTCACACCCACTCAACCTTATCCACAACACTCTCAAACTTCTCTGCCATATTTTTCATCCCGTCACGCTCAAACCGACACTCAACCCTCGCCCCGTCATTCATCCTCCGCCTCCCTCGAAATCAACACGAAAATACCCAAAAACACGACTCTCACGTCAATCCGTTCCTTCTCCACGGCTCTCCTAACCAAAAACACGTCTCCTGCGTCCCGAAACACGCTCCTATCCGACACGCTCATATTTTCACTCACATCGACACGCTCGTATTTTCACTCGCATCGACTCTGCCCGATTTATCACATCTCACCCACGTCTCTGTCACTTTTTATAT